TTAAAACTATAGAAATATAATTTTATCATTTGTATAGTCTTAGAAAAAAACATATTATAAATTCTAAATTATGGTTTGTAACCCTTATTATTTCGTTTAACACAGATGTAAATAATCATGGAGCTTACTATAAGCATGCATATCTATAAAGAATAAAACAATATTAGAAATTTTCGACCATTTGGGAACTATTTTGATTGAAAATTAATGCGCCTGTCATTTGAGCATCTTTACGCAGTGATCTTCGGCGTTAGTGTACATATAAAAGGAAGTAACCGCTTCAAAAAGCGGACTACTTTTCGGCATTTGCAATTAACAGCATCAGGGTCTGAAATTTCGCTACCATTATTTGTTTGGTCTGACGACCCAAAAAAATAAAAACAACCCTTTATTGTTTGTATAAAATTTCATCCATATTGTTCTAGATTGTCATCCATTATTAACTCGGTTTTTCAAAGTTTATTTCGACATTTTAAGAATTCAGCACCCCCGCTGTATATGGATTGATGCTAAGTTATATGAATATATCTTCAAAAAAGGCCCCATGTTGTGCTTTTACGTGTATGTGTCTGGGTGACTAAGCAATATGAAATATTGTCTTGTTATCTTGTTGAACGACGACTGGTGTTATCCACTTAAAACGATATAAGTTAAAGTTAAACATTTTATTTGGGAGGTCTCTAAATAAGCACCCAAGACTGTGTCTGCTTGTTAATTTGATAGGGGAAACAAAAGTGATACGGTTACTTCGAAAAACCGGTGAGGTAGTTTCAACTTTTTCCAGGCTCATATTCAAGAATTCAACTTTATGAAATACGTTCATTTTCAGGACACATTTCCAAATATGCAATGAAAAGCGGACAGTGCAGACCATGTTCATTGCAGACCATGATCAGACAGCATTGTTGTGCCAGCTGATCGTGGTCGGTACTGGTCACATGGGAAGAATCTGATTGTAGATAGCAATGTAGGAGCACATTTGTCTCGGAGCACATTTGTCTCACAAAGTGTGACCGATGTGTTCGTAAACATTCATATTTGCGACAAATTGGAAATGAGACAGATGTGTTCGACAAACAATAGAAAGGACACTCGAAGCACATTTGTCTCACATTTTTCAATAAAATTCTTAAAAGGTAATGATTACGCTCATCTGTATACCGGCTACCGGCCATTCAGATTGTTCTGTGTTTTCTGTATTTATAATATCGTTTTGTGGTCACTTCCGGTCAGTCAAAAATGCATAGGAGTCATATATTAGATTCTAAAGAATATACCTGTTCTGCATGTCACAATGAAAATTTTTACAGGTGCAGCATCCAGAACCTAAACACATATGCAGCAAGTCTGTTCTTATCGTTATTAATTGTGATACGTTTATTTTCAATGCTTAAAGTTTTATAAATGATTTATGGCACTAGAAATAATCTTAGCACAAACAAGGTAGTATCTACGGTGGCATAAAGGGGAAATAGAATTTTCTTATTTGTTACGTGCGCACACGATAGTTTTTGCGTGGCCACGCGATACTATTACGTGCGCACGCGATAGTAATTGCGTGCGCATGCTGATATGTATTCCGCATATGGACCCTGACCGGGATCCTCGCATGAAAAGTTCGACGCCCCGTGTATGTGTCGAGAGCCTACAGTGGTTAGGGGCAAGTGTTTTTTTTTTTTAAATCACTCGGCCACGGAGGCCCTTAAATGATCTATAAAAGAAAATAAGAAGACCATTACACACTATTTTGTTTTCATCAGAAATATATGTATAAGAATCGTCATTCTTTCAGATCCGCCATTGAAAAGGCACTTAAAACATGCATGAGTTACTGAAATAATCCGGGTTATGCCATAATTATGGAATATCGGGCCACTCAGAATCGAGCGAGACGCGACATTCCGATGAGACACGAAGCGAGACACGATATTGTAACACGAGATCTCGCAATGTCGAAGTATCCCGTACCACGAGATTTCCGAAATGAATAAATGTTTACTTCTTTAGATAGGGCAAGTATGAATTTATTAATATTCAAATAATGGTTTCTGAGGAAGTTAGATGCTTGTAACCCAAAGAAATTTGCGATAAATGTAAAATAATGCGTCATAAAAGTAGAAAATGTAAACAAAGTAGTATTTCGACTTCAATACAAAATTTTAAATCACTTCAACTGTACAAACTGCAAAAAAGCAGCAGATGAAAAAATGCTTCAGGTAATTAGCCAATGAGTAACTTTTTAGAGCTATAAAAGTATACCAAAAATAAAAAGCTTTTGAAGAATACAAATAATAGCATTTCTCTGGCATAATGGGCCTTTAAGTGATTTTATGTAGACTATAAAGGGAATACTACTTATCGGTTTATGACCTGGAATACATTTCTTGTCTCGCGTCGACAAACAAGATGCGCAGCGAGACGCGAGATTTCGCTCGACGCGAGATTTCGGCGAGATGCGAAACGAGTCACGATATTATATCATTCAATATCAACCGATTACAGTGTTCCGTTTGGACATAAGTAACATTTTTGTCTCCCTGAACAGCTATGCACAATGGTACAAAGGTGAAATTGAGATGGTACGATGGTTAAAACACGATGGCACGGTGGTGAAATCACGATGATGCGATGACACGATAGAGAATATAATATCGCGTTTTCATCATCATAACATCGCAGTTTCATCATACCGTACCATCGTATTTTCACCATCGTAACATCGTCTTTCACCATTGTACGATCACGTTTTCATCATCGAGCCTTCGTGGTTTCACCTTCGTACAATCGTTGTTTCACTATCGTACAATCGTTGTTTCACGTTCGTATCAATGTGTTTTCACCATCGCACCATGGCTTTTTCATCAACGTACCGTCGTGCCATCGCGCTGTCACCATTGTACCATCGTGAACGGGATTTAGTATGTTTCAGTGTACGCCTTCAGGTTAAGCCAATCAATTTCTTGAATTAGAGATATTATAATCAATAGTTCACTTAAGGTTTTCATAAAGAAAGCATAAGCAAACACTTGACATGAGGTGAAACAGCGAACCTCGATTCTAAAAAAGAATTTCTGCCGTGGAGAAATATGTGACAAATATGTCATAAAAAAATGACATGAGACAAATGTGCTTTCTTGTCCCTTAAAAACACATGAGACAAATGTGCTTTCTTGTCCCTTAAAAAACTTGTTCGGAGCACATTTGTTACACAAATGCGTTTTTTGGGGTAGACATTTGAGGTCCCATTTGTCTCATGTGGGACAAATGCGACCGCATCGGTCTTACGTAAGATAAATGTGCCCCGAGACAAATGTGCTCCTACAAAGCAAACTAGGGGTTCAATTATCTCAATTGCCAGTTTGACGACAAACCTTTCAATGTTTCTGGCCTTTTAACCATTTTCCTTTGCATGATGTAAAGATCATTTTGATATATATCATGATATATTATATATTATGAATGGAGTTGATAAAAAATCATTATAATTTTTGCATTACTCATCCGTAAAAAAGCGTAAAATTACACTAGGAAATGTTGACCTCCGTTTAACCTTTGCCCGAGCGAAATATAATTTGTTTATTAAAAAAGATAGTATGGTTGACAGAGTAATTAGATATATACAAATGTAGTTATAAATAAGTTAAATTAAGTGTTGCCTATCTCAACAACTAATTTATATGATACAAAAAACACAATAAAAACCCAAACAAATTTCATTCACGGGCTACAGTTTGCCTGAGGAAGATAGAATTTTCTTAAATAGACGTGAAATAAATGATTTTATAAAAAACCTTGTTTTTTTATTAACGCAAATGGACTTCATATAACAGATTTTGCTTGTTTTTTTCCCGCCTTAATTTCAAATTCTGCTAATAACGCGAAGCTAAATATAGCTAAAGCGTATGTATACGCCACTGTAAATGGAATTTTAATTTTAACTTACTTTATTCCAGCTTGATATAGTATTCATCATTTTAGCAATCATATATTTATAATTATGTACATGTAAAATATTTCCAATGTTTGGACTGTAGCTGAAAAAAGTATTTTTAAAATCTGTATTGTGTATTTTCAAAACTAAAAAATGTAAAATGGAAATGTGTTTCCACGCATACAAATATTTAATATTCCCGTATAGCAAGGAACTTTCTTCAAAAACTTGGGAATGCCATATTAAAAGAGTAAAAGAAGTGAAACTATCGATTTATATTAAAATAATTTACAGTATTCTAACAATCCGTGACAGCGCCCATTAAAGTCGGTGCGTTATTTTGTAATTGTTCTAGACTTTACAAGTTTTAAAAAGTATTCTCCATTTAACATTTTGAACATCTCATTTAAAACATTACAAAAAGATCAAACGTTGTTCAGCACAATTATGTTTAGATTTTAACAGTCATGATCGTTTATTTGAACAGCTTGTCGATATCGTCTGTACACATGAAAGATAAAAAAATGTTATGTTAATGACGTAATTTGGAGATAAAAAAGCAATCCGCTAACATCATCATTGCAGGCATTCTTTGAAAAATAATTATTTGTTATAGTTTGATTGGAGATTATAACATCGTCTCTAAGTTCCGGTTAAGATAAATGATATAATTTTATACTTAAAGGTTGAAGATTTATGATATTTTTTTTCTAAGACGTAAGAATTATCTTCTGTCTTTGGGCATTTTTTTAGTCTGGACTTCATGCACTGTAAGTTAATTAACCTTCCGTTGGTTATAACTGCTTGTTTTATATCTTCAGGTCTCTGAAATCTCCATTCATTAAGTTTCAAATTGGACTTTGGTCATGAAAAAGTCAATATGTTTGAAAAGAGAATATTTTTAAATGCAAAGATATGCAGGAATATTCATTCACAAAGAAATCGGCTGTTAAATAAACATACAAGAGCGCGTTATAATAAATAAAGTAGTTCCATTTCAGTTGGCACTTAGTAATTGGAATCAGCTTTTTATTTTCCTAATACAGAATCACTGTTTTATATTTTTCAGGGCTGTAGAGAAGTGCGGAGGTCAAGGTCTTTTAACGCTAATTCCAGCACAATGTCAGGTGGCGAACAGAGTGGTGCGACGTCACCGACAGATTCTCCGACGTGTATGAGAAAACGTCACAAACCACTCGTTGTTAAGAAAATTCCTGCTACAGATTTAGAGGAAAGGCAAACTATTGCTGGATACATTGAGAAGAAGAGCGTCAGTGCTCAGTGGATAAGGTAAAATTTGTTTCCTTAACTACATAACAATAATAATAACTTCCGTTACTTCTGTTTCATAAGATATCACATTTTAGACGTACGCAAAAAAAAAAATAAAATAAATAAATAAATAAAAAAATAAACAGAAATAACGTTACTTCTTTATAAAGTCTAGCGATATGCTTTTGTAAGTTGAGTTACCACAATTGTAACTTAGATAGTAACTTGTAATACATCTTGTAAGCTACATTACTTTTATTTATCAGATACATTATAACGTTAAAAATTTTTTAAACTTGCGTTAAAATGTACGATACTTCTTTGTACGTGACGTTTTAAAGATATATAGAATATGATGGTGTTACTTTTTGTAATCTTACGTTACTTTCCTGTAAAGCAACGTTACTACGTGAGTACGTTACAACATTGCATTATAGACTAAACATCATAAAATAAGCTTAAGGATAGGAACCTGTTCTTTCTATTGTATTTAAGATTTTCATTGATTGATGAATAAAACACCATAAAGGTTTATCAATTCAATGAATAAAAATTGGTAAAAACACGAATAGTATGAAAAATGTATGTTTAAACCTATTTTTATATCTCAACAACATATAGCTTTTTCATTCATCCAAAAGTACCTTACTTAATCTCAAACAAATCTAGGTGATTGACAACTGCAATAAGAAAATATGTAACAACAGAAATTACTAATGTTTAAAAAAGTATCTAAATGAAAAACTGTTTCCGAAGGCATTTTGAATTGTACAAGATTTTCCCATCTAGGTTTTCGTTTTAATTATCTGTTAAGATTAAAGGATGAGATAAGTAAAAACCTTAAATGTGATCTCTTCGCTAGATTATGGAATGATGGATTAAATGGCAAACTTGAGCTCTCTGTTAGAGCCCGTCTACACCTATCCAAGTCTTGAATGCAAGTATCATATTCTCTTGTATTGGATAGTGTAGACACCCTACTTGAATGAGTTTTAAAGAGAAATTATGTGACATCCAAGAAGATAATTTCTTGCAAGAAAGTTAGAACATGTTCTATTTTTCTACAAGTTTTTGGCTGTCAAGACACTGATAACACCGGTTTGACACAAAACATGTGCCCCGAAGGTTTGATAGTGCTGTTATTTTTATTATTTTCTGACTTTTTGTTGTTGATTCAGTGTACATGCCCTTTGAATTTCAGTAAATGATTACAATGTCTTGGTCAAAGGAACGAATCAATACGCTGATACACAGAAGAGCAAAAAAAATTAAATAACAAATGTAAATAAATACATTGTAAAAAAATAAAAAAGAGCGCTTTTTTAAGTAGAGTCAAAATGGATTTAAAATGATCTTGTTCATTTAGTGAATAACTTTCATCAAATAAAGAATTTGCATCAAAATAAATTTTTGTCACATTTTTTCAATGAACTCCATTCTGTTTTAGCTAATTGCATCATTTTCCCGCTTTTTTTTCACATATTTTACAGAAACATGATAGTCTTGCAAAGACAAAGGTATAAATCCTGGGCTATCTTAATGAGACATTTCAGTAAAAATTGTGCCTGAAAAAATGTTGAAAGGGCCATTTATTTAGCTTATCTAAATGTGACATGTAAGAAACTTGAATAGGTGTAGACACGGCCTTAACCTGGCATATCCACTTCCGAGCATTTCCACTCTCTCAAGGTTATATAGGTAATAAGCGTAATAAATCGTGAAGTAAACTAGGTTAAAACGTTCTGTTTTTTTTTCTCGGATTCTATAATCTTTATCTTGAACAATTTGTCAAGCACCTGATACCATTTCATCAGTTACTTAATATCAAGATACTGAACGATAGAAAACAATTTAGACGATTTTTATTCATTGTCTGCTTAATTCACATTTCACATACATGTTTGTTTCCGTCTGACGTTTGAAAATTCCTAATTTCAAAATTTCAATACCAAGAATTCTTAAAGGGGAATGGCCCTTCATGTCGAGGGTAGGTTCATTAAAGGTACAGGTTGTGTAATACGTTCTAAAATCATTGGCTTTGAGTTTAGTGTGAAGATCTTAGAAGTCACTTGCGGAAAAATTGCTATTGCTGATACGAAAATTCTTATTATTGCATTTAAAATAAACAGACAAGCCACACAAACACGAACATTCAGTATTATTTTATAATAAGTGTATTATTCTTATAAACTGCAGGTTAGCAGACACAAAAGCTACGTTCAATTAATATAAGAAATGCAACATTAATCAGATTGTTATGTAATGCTGTATTTTGAATTTATTTCTGGTTGCGAATGCGGTTTTGCAAGGTTACATATAAAATTCAAAATTTGTTTTTTGTACTCTTTACGACTCTGTATGTTCATGTATTAGCTTCTTTAAATAACGATACTATAATATTATTATTATTATAGAATTTGTTATTATGTTATAATTATATTATTATATTATTACTATTTGTGTCTTCACAACACGTTAGTAGTTTCGAAATCAAGGAGATTTATTCTCTGTTTTCAACACATCAAAATTAGAAATAAAAACATGGTTATCAAATACATAAAGAGCTAATGATGTTAGTTTTATCTTAAATGGAAAAAGGGAGATAATATAAACTGTTATACGCGTACGCTATGAGGATTAAGAAAAATAATAAAAAAAGCAGTCAAAACATAGTAAATGTATATTATTCATGGAACAGACCTTTTTATCAATTGATGGGATATGATATTCAAGCTCGATATATATATGCAGTATTCTCCATCATGGAATAAGTGTAGTTTGGCAACTAAATTATAACTAGCATAAATTACTTGAAATTAAGCATCTCAAAATACAGATTATCGACTACAACTAATTTACTACAAGAATAAATCACTAAATGGGTTCTTGAACTGAACATTTCATGAGAATAAACAATTTACACAGTGGAGAGCGCGTGGAGCTATTTTTAGCTATAATTATGTAAACAATATTCTTGAAAATATCCTCACTCGCTTATGAATTCGCTATTCATTTAATTTGTAAGTTCTTCAACAACCTGCAAATTGATGATAAGACTTATGAAAAAAATCTTGATATTCTGAAGAAAATTCAGATATATTTCTTTTTTATTGATGAGAAAATCGGAGTATAATGAAAACAAATTTCACGATATTTCATTCTGTCACGTACACGTGCATTCGAGTATATTGGCTTTATTGTTTGTGATGGAAATTGATGCACTCGAATTTATCGCCTCTATTGTTTGTAATTTCACTTAATTTTGGCTTTGTTTTATGTAACTGAAAACGTTGCATTTGATAATGGATTCATTCTGACATGTATGTAATTAAAACATATGCATTTTAATTTATAGGCTTTATTTTTAGCTCGTCTGATTCGAAGAAAAAAACGAGCTTTTATGATCGCTGCGTCGTCGTCGTCGTTGTTGTCGTCGTCGTCGTCTTCGTCATCGATATTGTCGTCGTTCAAACACATTTATGTAGCTCATTATTGAATCATTTTAAAAGTTATCAATATGAAACCTGGAAAAATTGCTTATCATGACATTGTTAAACAAGGGGCACAATTCTGAAAATTATATGTTTAGAGTTAAATCCCCTTTTAATTTAGTTTTTTTTGTTAAAATTGGTTGCCCTATAACAGACGAGCGTTACACCGCATGTAGTGCTTTTGTGTAAGAAATGGATAAGCATTTAAAAGACAGTAAGCCAATCATATCTAAAGCTAAAATTCAGGTTTTGACGTCACGTGTTACACGTGCAATCATGATACGCCAAAGGATTTACAATTTTTATGCCATTTTATCGTAGATATTCATTTTACTTTCAGATATTGGTATGTTCTACATGAGGGTACTTTGTTTTGTTACCTGACGTCAGACGACAACGTCACTGTTGACGTATTAAATCTCCATGGTTACAGTATAACAAGTCTTGTCGACAAATTCAGAGGAAAACGATTTGTACTGCAGCTTTCACATGACGTAAGTTCAAAATGTTTTATCACCAACTCTGCAGATGCAAATCAAGTGTAATTTTTTGTGTGTAAAAAGAGATAGATTTCACAGGTCCTTAAATCTAGAAACGCAAAATTTGAAATTCTTGCATAGATCTTATCCTCTAAAAATGGAAAAATTCTAAGATTAAAAAAAAGAAATGTTATAGAGTTAAATCCACAATTGATTTTTGGCACGTTTTTTTAAAGCCTGGTTTCGGTGCAAAGCTTTTCATTTTGAGTCATATAAATACTTTTGGAACATGGGGAGTGGGAATGACCTGGAATTTTACACCCAAGTTATTAATTAGTCAAGACCTACATCAAACGATGCACAATTCTCGAAAAGTATTTCGTTTTTTTAATAAGCAAATTAGACTATTGCGATCTTCCATACTTGAGGCTTCTGTAATTGATGAACAGATATCATAACAAGCGAGATCTCTTGCATAAAGAGTTTAACCTAGATTTAAGTGTTCATTTTTTAAGCATTTTGACTTTCATGTAACTAAGCCATTAATTCTATATGTTTGAGGTTGATTATTTTGCTTTGGAACTTCCATGTAGAAATACTGAGGTAACTATGTAGAAAAACTAACGTATTCACAAAATTACAGAGAATGTAACACGTGTGACACGTGCACACTGTGTTAAACGTGCAACTACAACATGTGAAACAAGTGGCTACGTTGTTATTAAGTAAAAGTGTTTCCATGCCGTCAATTTCATTTTATGCATAAAATCAAGCGTTTTTCTTATAAACTTAGCAGGAAAAAACAACAACAACAAAAAACTAATTTGCAAAAAAGTTATTTCTATATAATTTACCTATCTGCAATTGATTGTAAAGTAGCTTATTTGACGTGATAGAAAATGGCAGGAATCTTGCAAAACAAGAACATTCAATTAGAAAAATTGTATTTAAGCATTTCATTTCATTAAGCTGGTCTAGCAAGATTGCAATAAACGCAAATTACAAAAAAAAAAATAGTTGCAATTCAGCTTTGAAATGGATATGAAATTGGGTGAGGCATTTTTTTTTGCTTATTCCAGCAACAAGCTTGGTATTTCTCTACGAAATTGATTTCGTCTACATGATTTATGAACACAGCCTCACCCTTAATGTTAAAGTTTATATATTTATCATGATTTTTGGAATCATGTCAAGCTGGGTTTATTACAAAATAATCTCATTTTTACTAAGTTTTTATAGACCTATAAACAAGGCCAGCAATATTATCTATCAGTTAAGCGCAAAAGGTCGCTATAACTTACAAAAAAGAAGGATAACAAACAACATCAACAGAACAAAAGAGAGCGAAACGGAAATGAAACGGAAGAAAACATGTTGCTTTTGTAATTCGGAAATTTACTTTTTCATTTTTTAGCATTTTCTATTAGGTTGCATCGAGACACCTTTTCATCGGTAATTGGATAAGTAAGAAAAAGTAAAAAAAAAAATCAATAATTTAGCCTCAAAATTGCATTTGAGTCATTTTGTATAATTACTTTTCAAACATACACTTATATCAAACAAATAAAAGCAACACTTTATTTCCCCATTATATATTTCCTTTGAATATTTCTTTCAGAATTTTACCTCCCTGTATTTGTCTATGGAGTCACGTGACGAGATGGAACATTGGTTGGAAAATCTCGAACACGCTATTAAACAACCGTCTAGTGCTATGAAGGAAGTCGATTCGGCTCAAGGAGCATGCGCAGGTAAGCTTATCTATTAATAGAGGACAGGACTTTTTAGCTCACCTGTCACAAAGTGACAGGGTGAGCTTTTGTGATCGCTTTTCGTCCGGCGTCCGTCCGTCGTCCGTCCGTCGTCCGTCGTCCGTAAACTTTTACTTTAAATGACATCTACTCATAAACCACTAGGCCAATTTCATCCAAACTTCACAAGAATGTTCCTTTGGTGGTCACCTTTCAAAATTGTTCAAAGAATTTAATTCCATGCAGAACTCTGGTTGCCATGGCAACCGAAAGAAAAAACTTAAAATATCTTCTTTTGAAAAACCCTAAGAGCTAGAGCTTAGATATTTGGCATGAAACATCTTCTAGTGAGTGTCTACCAAGTTTGTTCAAATAAAAGCCCTGGGGTCAAAATTGGCCCCGCCCCAGGGGGTCATTGATTTTCCCTATATGCATATAGTAAAAATTTAAAAAATCTTCTTTTAAAGAACCCAAAGAGCTAGAGCTAAGATATTTAGCATGAAACATGTTCTAATGAGTGCCTACCAAGTTTGTTCAAATAAAAGCCCTGGGGTCAAAATTGGCCCTGCCCCAGGGGGTCATTGATTTTCCCTATATGCATATAGTAAAAACTTAAAAAATCTTCTTTTAAAGAACTCAAAGAGCTAGAGCTAAGATATTTAGCATCAAACATGTTCTAATAGGTGTCTACCAAATTTGTTCAAATAAAAGCCCTGGGGTCTAAATTGGCCCTGCCCCGGGGGTCATTGATTTTCCTTATATGTGTATAGCAAAAACTTAAAAAATCTTCTTTGAAAAAACCCAAATAGCTAGAGTTTAGATATTAAGCATGAAACATGTTCTAGTGAGTGTCTACAAAGTTTGTTCAAATAAAAGCCCTGGGGTCAAAACTGGCCCCGCCCCAGGGGTGTCATTGTTTTTAACTATAAGTGAAAAAAAAATCTTCTTTTAAAAAGGCCAATGGGCTAGAGCTTAGATGTTTAGCATGAAACATCTTCTTATGGGTGTGTGTGTGGGGGGGGGGCTATATACAGGTGAGCGACCTCAGGGCCATCATGGCCCTCTTGTTTCTGTTAGTCAAAATAAAAGCACTTTATGAGACTGTTTTCAAGTTTTTTCATTCTCGACTGCTAGGTCGTACAAGTGAAAATGTAAAAGAACAGGCTAAGATTTGAATTCTTAAACAATTGTTATCGTTTAGAAACCAGTTCCAAATAAACGTATCATATATCAATGGGAAGTTTCCTTTTGGCAAACTGGCATTTCGGTTATCGATAATCTCAGAAATTTCTTGGAATAAGAATTACATTGTCAAAATATAGATGGCGTAAGTTCTAAATAATAAATCAAGCGCAAAGACCTGTTGAACTGTTCATAAAACTGTTATGATAACTGACTCAAAATCAATTGATCCTTGTATTGATGCGCCATATAGAACTCGCATTTTTCATCATGGCTCATAAAAGTTGATTGTTATACCCTGTCGCTGGATTATATTTAAAGATTGTTATACCCTGTTGCTGAAGTATATCTAAAAGGACATAAGTACATGCCCAACCGGTATTTATAACCCAAAATTGTACCGATGACGTAAGCAGTTGAAGAACATGAAACAACACTAACAACATAAAACTAAAACATTCTAGGCTATGACAGGCTAAATAAGTATAACTGTTTAAAAATCTACTGTTTAGACATACGGTGCAAACAGACGCTTGTATTTACCATTTGCTACACATATGTTCTTTGCGATTTAACACTATATCATGCAAACTCGTTGTGAGGCTGGAGATATGTAAACATGTTTGTTTGTCGATGAAAACTTCAGTCTGTTTACGATACATATAAACAAATGCTTTTTTAACGAAGTACAATTTCAAACATAGAAAAACACCGTGTCTAAAAGATCTGTTTCTTGTACTAAGTGTATTTTTGTTGACATTCAGGATGCGAGAGTAACAGACAAGATGACGTCGGAGAAAAGCGGAAGCAAGTGAAACAGAAACTTCTTGAAGAAGTGTTACGTCAGAAATATGAACTAGAGAGAAAACAAGCAGAGAGGCAAAAGGTAAACATACTAGATGATAATGTATTTTCAAATCTTACCATGCTAAACCTTCCATCTTTCAGTCTGGACATAACCATGAAGTTTTGTTTTACGGCGCACCAACATAATTAAGGTCATTTGGCGCCGAAACAGAAAAGATAATTTTGGCTTACCTCTGGGGTTTCAAACTTACCTGCTGGAGCTTAGAGGTGTATAGACTCCGGTAATTCTAACCCATTTAGTCGCCTATAAACGGAGGCTGCAATACCGATTTCATTAACACTTATAGGCAACCCCTCAGACTGACGGGTTTAAATCTCTATAACTTTATAATCTTAAGACAATATTTATAAAAATGCAAGGTTTATGTTAGTTCTATTGTACTTTCAAACGAATAAAACCAGCCATGTTACTATATTTAGAAACAACGAGGCAGCAAAGGTATGGATTCTCCAGATCGTTCACCAAGTTCACCATATCCTCCAGATTTCCTGTCAGACGAACAGAGAACATGTGACGTCACAAGGTTACGACAGCGGAGAATGTCTACACAGTTAAAGGTAATAAAAATTTTTATAAGGTTCATACTTGTCTATTATCTTGTTTGTGTGTGTGCCTTTTTGTATTTTACTTAACCAAACCATATTATGTGATCTTCCCTTTTTTTCCTACAGTAAATGATAATTATACCTACAGAAACAGGTGTAAAGTGATAAGTGGCATATGTAAAAATTATCCTGTATTTCATCTAAGTATTTTAACTATTTTTTATATTTTATCACTGATTCTAATATTTTATGTGCTAGAGATTGAATACAGATTAAGCTGGTGGTAGAGGGCGTTAAATGTCATGCACTTTCAACCATCATAAACAGCTCAATTAAAACATGAATTCGATTAACAGCTATTTATATTTATTGTTTTTACTATCGAGAGATCTCCACTTTTTCAGACTTTTAATGATACTGTATTCACTATCTTGATAGACGAATAAGAGTAACCTCCCTTTCATTTATAGGACGTCTGATTAGCTTCAACATATTTAATTTCTAGATAATGTTTTTTTATGTTGTCTGTTCTTTATGTGTTTAAACGATACCATTTCAGGTTGAAACAATTCAGAAACAAATTGAAAAGCCAGGTGGTACAAAACGTGGAATTTTTGGATTTGGAAAATCAAAAAAGCTCGACGAGAACAGAAATGTGTTTTTACAAGACCAGTTGAAAGAACTTACTCATAAGTTACAAAAGATAGACACGGATCTTAATCAGGTAGAAAGTGAAAAATTGTTCTCTGATAGTTACGATGTCAACCAAAATAGAAAGTCAGCGCCGGTGCACCACACCTCTAATTCACACAATTTAGAACGAGGGGTTGACAGTGAAGATGAGGACGCTAAGAGAGGAACGGGTATAAAAAACACCATGCAGAAATGGACTAATAAAACATTTTCAAAAGTGTCTGTGAAAAGGAAGCAGGGAATTCCGTTAAATGGTAGTTTGCCAAATTTGAAACAAAACGGTGAAATAAACATGAATGGAGAGTTAGAAAATGGCGTGAATAGTGACATACATCGTGAAGAGTTTACGTCATTGGAGAGTAGTGTGACTGACCTTACACGTCCTTTGGCAGATTTAAAATTGGATTTAAGTTTACCACTTACGCAAAACGGTCAAAGCGGGTCACCATCGCCATCTTCGGTAGGGTATAATAGAAGTCACAGCCGATCAAGTACATTGTCATCGTTGTCGTCACCTCGACGGGAGATTGATCCTTCAGTATTAGCAGAAATAGACGTAAGTTGATCGTACTTTCATTACTTTTAAGTGTTTGTGTTATCGTTCCTACTTAGGTTTGGCTGCAGATCATATTTGTCTCAAAGTAAAATAAATAACAACTTTTGATTAGTATATCAGTCAAAAAACAACCTACGAAAGGCACTTAACAATTATTAGGGGTATTTTCACGTCATTATTAAAAAGTTATTGATATGATCAATCTATTACCAGCGATTTCCATGATGTTGTATGAAAACTGTCACGTTGTTTTTATTTTCAGGCATTTGAAGAACTGACAAAACAAGTGCTTGGTGCAAGGTCAAAAGAAATGCCGACAAAGTGAAGGAAGTGTCGAGGAAAATCTATTGACTTTTTACAATGCAGCTATTCATCAGACTTCTTATTGTTCCGGTTGACTGATCATCTTATAATCATGTTTAAAGTTCATGTGAAGACAATATAAATGATTGATATACCAATGGCTTGTGAGACTAATTTAAAATTCAGGAAAAGAAAAACACGATCTTATTTTGTAATTATGGTATCACTGTTAAAGATTACCAGTCCTGTAAAAAAGAGTTATTCGAAATAGTTGAACATTAAAATCCACAGTAAAAATTCAAAATTCATTTATACCGGAAGTTCCTGAAATTGTATGACTGGAAATCCGTCTGCTTCCTGAATATGTATGTTTCTATTCTTTTATGCTTTAACTTACATGAAAATCGTTATATGTATATTATGAATAATAAGCGAATGACCTCTTCTATTAATAATGGTTTGAACTTTTGCAAATACTATCCGACTAAGACACTATCGATTTACTGTTACTAGTAATACATCATTTTATACCAAATATATATTGTTGCACCCGTGACTTTGTCGTGAAGAATGAAATCTTATTAAGCATTATAATTAAAACGACGCAGCATAAAATGGTATTTGTCCAATCTGCCAGCCAAGATGTGTGAACTATTGGGCCCAATAGACTTGTAATAGCAGCAGGGACGTTGTAAAACAATATTTGTACTTAACATGAAAAACAAAGTTGTCGCCCTTGTTTGTTATTAAAGCGTCAAACAATATAATCGTCTGACTTCCATGCCAGCATTGATCATTGTCCTTCATTCTGATGAAGTCTCAATCTTTATTAACATGTAAAATGATGTATACACATTACGTTACTGTCGTGTAATGTAGCATTTCCTATTTGTTATAAACAAGATGTGCAATTGTTATCGATTATGTATCTATGCATATTAAATAAACTGTTATAAAGTGAAACAAGCGTTGTTTTTCTGTTTCATTTTATTCATTATTATTAATATATGGCAATTCATTATCTATATTAATAGTACATGCGTTTGATTATAGAATTATAAAAATAACATTTGGCACTTTCAATATCCATAATAGTGACATAATTTACATACATATATCAATAAAAGCCTAAATACACTTTTATTAACTGAAATTGACAGAATTTATATACATATATCAATAAAAGCATAAATTAACTTTTATTAACTAATATTGACATAATTTACACACACACTCTCGTATAAATAAAATCATTAATACATGTCAAACTTTAAATCTACTTTATAGGGACATTTAATTTTAAAGCTGAGGTAACTATTGTGATAGGGTTGGGCGAGAAATCAAACTTGAATCCAAATTTAAACCAAATACTTTTGAGTCGTGAATGACCAAACCAACATAATGGGTTTGCGACCAGCATGGATGCAGACCAGCCTGCGCATCCGCGCAGTCTGATCAGGATCCATGCTGTCCGCTATCAGTTTCTCTACTTGTTATATGGTTTGTAAGCGAACAGCGTGGATCCTGATCAGACTGCGCGGATGCGCCGGCTGGTCTGGATCCATGCTGGTCGCAAACGCAGTACGTTGCTTTTGTCATGGTGCGGCTCTTTTTCTAAGTCACTGTGAATAAGTGTTAAGGAATATGATCTTCGACAATTCATTTGAAGTATTATGAAATGAATGCTTTTGTGGTATAATGTAGAATTAAGAAATATTTAGTAATTTCTTGTTAAAACCAGGGCATTGTCTAAGGCATTGTTAGATAAAATGAAAAGCCCAGTCGGTCATTTTAGGAAAAATATTTTGAGGCATCGGCTTGTTACTCCAGATGTCTTGATGCATACTTCATTGTTAAAATATAATAAAATTCTTGTAACTTTAGTTAAAAAACGACAACAACAACAAAACCCCCGACAAAAACAGATGTAAGCAAGTAAGACATTTACATCTACTGATCTAACTAACGATCTTTGGCCGACTTATGAACCCATTGACTCTTCGGCCACTTTTTAAGGAGACTTTTCGACCCTAACTGAAAAGCCATTTCAAACCCTTTTCTATGGTAGACGCTCAATAAGTATACAGTATATTATAAATATAAATTCAATAATTTTCTGTACATAAAGTACTATAATGTATATGTAGTTATTTAAATGTGTACAGTCAAATTAAATGAATAACACGACTTAAAGAATTAATACAGTAAAAATAAATTGATACCTATTAAATTAATTTTTCGCTACACAAAATATATATAACTTTGAAGGCATCCCAACATAGGTAATGTTAACAGACAAATTTGTATTTGTATCACAAACTCGTATGGTAATAAAGAAATGCTTTCATGTTTACTAAACATAGAAAAAATCTGGCATAGTTTAAATTATTACACGATTTTCACGGAACTGTCATCAGTAAAAAACCATCCCAAAAACGAATAGCATATAATTATGACTGTGAACAATTTAGAAGAGCTGCCCTATTCGAATAGCTTCAGTCACATGATCTCGTAGTCTTCATCACGTGATACATTAATCACTTGATCTCACAGCTTCACTACTTTGACAGAGTTATCTTCCTGAGAACTTGTAGTTACTATTATATTTGGAATATTAAGCACATTAGCGCCATCTAAACTTCGTGTTCTCTTCATTGTGCGCCGTCGTTTTCGTCTGGACTTGAAAGATCTCATTGACCGTCTGCTAGCCGCTGGCCCTATACCGTTTTCTAAATCGGTTTCAGGCTTTTCGTGTTTTTCAAGAAATTGCTTTAGTCTTTCATCACCTAAATCTGTCGACGATTGTTTAAACGGCGCAGACAGTGCCTTCACTTCCTCTTCCGTCATGTGACGATGATCTGGAGGGGCGGAGATTGAGGTCACATTTGAATACACGCTGCCATCTGATTGGCCGAGATTATTCATTGAGACAACAGATACGGACAAGTGGTTTGAAAACTTTGGTTTTTGACTGATTGTTATTGTTGGGTTTTGTGAATCTTCCGAGTCGAAACGTGCATTCACAGAATGCCAAGTTGAAACTGAAATATAATTGATAAGTACATTTGTGAAATCTTTGATGATTTCCACAATTTCAACGTTCAGCACTATATACTATACTATGCTATGCTATGCTATGCTATGCTATGCTATGCTATGCCATGCCATGCCATGCCATGCCATGCCATACCATACCATACCATACCATTCCATTCCATACCATACCATACCATACCATACCATACCATACTATACTATACTATACTATACTATACTATACTATACTATACTATACTATACTATACTATACTATACCATACCATACCATACCATACCATACCATACCATACCATACCATACCATACCATACTATACTATATCTATACTATACTACTAGGTTACACTGAAACGAAAACAGATTATGAATACGTTTCTTTTTCAAATTAATCTACAATAAATCAACTTTAATTTGGTTTCTCCTTCTCTGATTTATGCTTTCTTCTTTCTCTTTTTTAAAACTTAGTTTTTACCCTCTTTAACTTTCATTGAAACTGTCTTTCATCTATTTATTGTTTTCCTTTTCTGATTCCAATTTTCCAAATTCTAATTTAAATTATTAATTCAAATAATGTTTTTTTTTTTAAAAACACAAGTATGAAAAACTAAATGACTCAATTTGCGTGAACTGGTCCCTAATTTCGTCAACTTTACCTGCACTAGCCATTCTGCTTAGATTGTTCATATTGCTCATATTGACTGTATCATAACTATGCGTTCTTCTTCGTGACATCACATTCTCTCTCGTATTTTTCTCAGGACGAAAGATCACAACGTAAGTCTTTGTGATGAATAACGTTATCAACGTCACTGTGGCGTTTATTGAAGACGAAAAACACAGAGAAACAGTTCTTATAGTTTTGTCTGTCACAGAGAAGTAAATTGACGTGAATGCAATCCATAAAACACAGAATGAGTAAGATCCAAATGTTATATAACGTGTTTCATTAAAACCATCCGGAGTCTTTCGCGTCCGAATTGCGTAATATACACATAAAACCATGAGAATGAATGGATAGACAAGAGCTCCAAGGTATGCAAAATCTTTCGCGTCATCGCATAAACGAATCTTCTTTGTTGGCGTGGGGTACATATAGGTGTCGTCTGCAGGATCTAGGATTAACCACGTGACTAGTGCGACAATCTCCACCGAGACGATCATAAATGTTATCAAAAGTTGCGACTTTGCGTCGATGTACCTAACTTTCTTTGGCTTGCTCGTATTGATATTGAAAACTCGGTATATTCTGTTAGTCTTCACAAGAATGGCTGCGTACACAACTGTATAACTTAGTCCAAGCATCATCCTTGTTGCCCCACATGACACCGCGCTAGGTTCGGCAACAAAAGTAAACGTAGACAGGTAAGACATCAAGATTCCCAATAACAACACAAAACTCAACTCTTTTCCGGAGGCCATTATTAATGGCGTCTGCTTCTGCCAATAGAAAATGGCCGCCACGACGGAAGTAGCTATCACACCAAGGCTGCTGAAGGTATAAGCGGAAATGATCCAGCCAATGTCCACTTCCGTTTCTGGAATTATCTCGCATCCATTTAGAGAGCTGTTTGCCCTTTGACCTTCGGGGCAATCCAAACAACTTTGGTTTCGAACCTATCAAGCAAAGGAAAGATGGTACATTTTTAATAAATTGTATCTTAACTTTAAAGGATTTTGAAACAAGCATTTTAAAATGTTGCAGTCCTATAATTAACTGATTTCATTGTAAAACATGCTTTTAGAAATCGAGGGTGTACCAAAAAGAATGATATATCAAAATGTATGAATAGTTTTGATGGTAATAAACATATTAATATACATTAACATCAACAAAGAAACACATGTATCGATTGCAATAAAAAACATTTTTTTTGCTTTTATTAACCTTCCCCTGCATTTATTATGCATCATAATATGACTAATTTTGAATGAATGCCACAAAAAATGGCTTTGTCACCAGCTGGGAACCAGGCCGGCCAGCACATCCGTATTGTTTGGCAAAAACTTTCAAGTGTTAAATAAATGTCATTGAAATCTTCAAAATACAAACGGCATGTCCCAAACAAGACATTTTAGAGAAATGGTTATAGATTACCTGTAGGTATTGATTGGCCTCGCAGCGTTTACATGTCCAACAACATTTATTGGCATGAAGCAGTTTGGCTTCCCCTTTTCCACACTCAACTGAACATTTAGATGGCTTATAAACTCCGCTATAATCAGTCTTCTTCTTTCTTAGATTGTGAAACCATATGTCGTCATCAATTGATGAGTAGTTAGTGACTAAAAGAAATAATAATCACTGAGAAATCATTCGTTTATCTTTAAACAAGTACTTTTCAATGTGCCCTTATTTGGTTAATCTCAAAGCAAAGTTTTCATTAACCCTTTAAGTGCTGGACCCGAAAGCATTAAGTCTTTGCCACCAGTATAGAGCCAGGCCAGCCTGCACATCCGTACAGTCTGACCAGGCTCTATACTGTAGGCTGACAACTTTTAAATATTCAAATTGATATCCCTAAAGTTGATAATGGACAGTGCCAAAAATGGAAGTGGGACAAGTCCATTTAAGATGTTCAGCATGTTCAGGGTTAAATCTTCTTTTTACACCAGCATGTCTATAATTTTATTAACATAATTTATGTGCTTACTGTTATTTCTAAGTATTTTGTGTTTATTCCCTGGCATGAATAAAGCCGGTATCACTATGCGTTATATGTCAATATAAAATAGTTTTATATAACTCAATTTAAAACAAATACTATTCTAAAACATGCCTTTAAAATTAAGTTGAAATGCTATGTTTTGTTCTTTTCAAAATTTGTTGAGTGAGCACACCAAAGGAATAAAAATAAAAACTAAGTTTATCTTATTATATTATTAGAACGCTAGAAACGTTTTTAGAACCTTGACAGTTGTCAATCTCCTTCCAAACATTGTTGGTATATTTCATAACACTATATCTTGCTGGGCCACTGTTGTTAACAAATCGGAATTCAAGTCCAGAAGTTCCTAAAATATATCGATAATCAAAGCGCTGAGAGCACTGCCAGAGACGAAATGTCGTGCAAACCATTCTATCGTACTCTTAAATGAATAATGACTAGAACATGAATTGATTGAATCTGTGTACATTACATCAGGGACGAGGCTTTCAATGAAGTCATCTCCGCTGCTTTTACAAACTTTCAAAAGGTAATTTCAAATATATTTTTAAAACTTCAATGAGTAAATAAAATACATAAGCTATCTGAAGTTGCAATTTTTGGCATACAAAGCTTCTCCTACATCATGTATAGTAAAATTTTACAATTACAGGTTTTCAATGTCAATATAACTCACCAGTAAATGTCACATTCTTCAAATAACGCATCAGTTTTTCAGCCTCTATACTCTTTAAATCAAGACATATATTCTTTTCATCTTTCCCACACAAGTCAGTATGAAGGTCGCTTAGTGCTTGCGCGAACGCGTACACAGCGTCCATTACAGCATAGGTGTTCATATTCTTCTTAAATTTATCTGTCGACAGAAACATTCATAAATCATCAATACATTTAAACTTCATTTGTATATTTCCTTAAACGTTTTTCTCTTTCCTTTTGTTCCAATTTCTTTTTTTAAGAATTGGATACAAAATCACTCACCGTAAAAAGACAAAGACCTAGGTGCCGAGGTTGGTTAAACTATCGTTCAACTGGCAATTAAATTTATAAAAAATATTCTCTTTCATTCGTAATTGGATAACATAAATATTCTTATAACGACTTGTATCAAAAGACATCTTCTCCTTGTTTTTTTTGCATTAAAACTAAAAAAACAGAAAAAAATAAAATAAATAAATAAATATAAAAAATAGCTCCGATTTATTGTAACATATATTACCATTATTGTTGAAGAACAATTTCGCATCTTTGCAATCTACTTGTTTTGTATTCCGTATTGGCGTTTGATCTTCGTCGCTGCATACATGTTCACGATACTGTTTAAACCATGGGTTTGTACCATCATGGGTTGTTGTCAAACTGATAAATATTTTCATAGAAGATATTATGAATTGCGTTTTGCATAAAGAAGTTGTAGATGTGGATGCGATATGATTGTCATAAAAATTCAGTCGCGTCCAGATTATGAAATAATTTAAAGGAACCTCTAGCTTAACATTGTTCATAGCTTATTCAACATAAGAATATACCGAGTTATAAATGACAATCTACAATGACGAGATTACCAATAACGTCAACGATCCCAGAAAAATATGTGCATGCCGAAAGTCAAGTAAAAGCAGTTCTACCTCGTCCGTGTATCTATTTAAAGATACTACTGAATTGTAATAAAGTCCTCATGACTTTAAGTTACCCCCAATAAAACCATTATAAATCGCATACCGAGTATAGTTCTCTACCAAATGAAAGATAGTTTTTCACTGTGTGAACCTAGCTCATCTACTAAAACATTACAACATAACAAAAAGTAAACTTTATATCAAATCGCCATATCCTTGAACAGTTTTCACATTAACTCTCCGAAATGAAAATATTACTTTTGCTTGTCTTTGATATGTACATGTAAAAAACAAAATTGTTCAGCGTATGAAAGAAGCGGACCTCAATTTGGAATCATTTCTTTTGGCAGCATTACGGGACATTTTAATCATTTTTAAATTGTACCATCATACCTGTTTAGATAATCGTCAAACTCTTTTATTACTTCAATTTTCGGCTGTATACCGAGAGCATGCTTGACTCCGCCCACCAGATATTGGCCCGTCCACGCGTCGCTACCGATCCAGATGTACTTGTCGGTCATGTTCAAGTTATTGGCTATAGTAAATATCTTATTGGCAATATTAGCTGATACGAATAACACTGCAACGATCTTATCTGAAATGTTGAAATAATAATAATAATAATAATAATAATAATAATAATAATAATAATAATAATAATAATAATAATAATAATAATAATAATAATAATAATAATAATAATAATAATAATAATAATAATAATAATATAATAAAATAATAATAATAATAATAGTGATAATAATGATAATAATAATAATAATAATAATATAATAATGATAATAAAAATAATAATAATAATAATAATGATAAATAATAATAATAATAATAATAATAATAATAAAATAATAATAATAATAATAATAATAAAAATGATAATAACGACGATGATGATTGGAACATAAATAATGATGACTAATGTTTTATATCGTCATTTTCTAGCTAGAACATTAATCAATTAATTAATTAAATACTACACATTATTTAACTGTATGCTCACACTTTGTTTATTCGATCGTTAATGTCCTTAAAAGCAAACAAGTACTTTTGGATTATTATTATTATAGGGTTTGTTTTGGATCAGTCTTAAAAGTGAGGTCAACACAAAGGTCAAAAGGTCATTTGCCATTATCGATATCAAGTGTCTTCTAACTAACGTAATCAGAAGAAGTTTGATACTTACACAGCTAAAAGTAAATGCATTACTAACATACTGTTGGTAATAAAAACAATACACATTTTTCAAGTCGACCATTTGCCAATAAATTTATATTAGCTTCAAGTAAGTTTAAATGTGTATAGAATTTAACATGATTTAACAATCATTGCAAAGTAAACGATTTAATCAAATGTTTGTTGTTTCTTTGTCAACATGTATTTTGCCGATTTATACAAAGTTTGGCCAAATTCCAGCGGACTGGCCACTGGACTGGATTTCCTGGGTAACATACCATTACATACCAATTTCTTCGCAAGTGACCGAATACTAACACCTCATGATTTCTGAATAAGCCATGGGAGACAAATTACTAGTAGGCTTTCAATGTCTTAGAGCAATTGTCACGGAGAAATCAAGCCTTGCTCGAAGGTAGGACCAGACAAATCAATTACGAATCCCAATTAAGCTTTGCGAGCGGACCTTTGATCAAATGTTAGCTACATTACATCTGTTAACTGTTTTACATGAATCACATATTTTAATATATACGTGAAACAGTGAAATCATTCGAATTGTGCTTTCTTACTGTATCAAATATACCTTTATTTCATTGACATAAACATAGTTTTTAATTGTAGCTGATTGTTTTTACTTACCTTCCGTGTTGTTGAATTGAAGTGTATCATTTATTTTCATCTGAAGATCATCCTCATACTTCTCTTTATTCTTGAAATATCTACAATATAATGATACACATCTGGAAAATGGGCTATCCCTCGAAAATATTAATAGCAACACATTTACATGAAAATTACTGACTCGGTTTGATTGAGTCTGTACATGAGGGATTATAAAAAAGTGCAACATTCCTCACGCTCCCAAGAACCGACTTGAGCGGTAATTAATATTCAACACTTTTAACGTGCTGCAGTCAATGATCCCGAAGATCTGGGAAAATATCACAACACTGAAGTGAAGTACGGGGAAACGGGTATATTTTTTTACTGGACTTTGGGCCTGTATTCAAAGTATCTTTCTGTATTGTACATTGATCATTCTTGCTTTATATTTTTTTCATATTCACAATACATGTAATTGATTGACAGTGATATAAACCAAATTATTCCGAAAATGAAAAAAAAATAAAAGTGCTTCCCTGTAAGTGTTTGTTAACTTAAGTCACGTATCAATCAATACAAAAACATACATTTATATACATTTTTAGGTAAATGTAGTTTTATTTAAATATACAGAAGTTAGTTTACCTATTGACTTTATATGATTTTGCAATACAGATGTTCGCACGTTCCGCGTGCGCAGTAATTTCGTGAAATCCTTCAATGCCATAACTCGAATCGTCATAAAAACCAATTACATACTTCCACTCAAAGGTCCTGCACAAATTGAAGACAATAATTTTATTTCATATATATTTTACAAACTGTTTCGTTTTTGGATATTAACAATGGACAAAGTCATCAAGAATGTCTGCAAACGTATGAACAGAATCTAAAAAGTCCATTGTCAATGATATTTTCACTGTAAAGCAGCAGCAACAGCAGCATGTCAACAACAACAGCTCTACTTTCCCCTAAAAAAGTGTAGCTTAAAAGTGTTAGTAAGGAAGCAAGTTTGATTTTCCTAGTGTTGCTACATTAGTAGTAGTAGCAGCAGCATCAACAACACCATCAGCAACATTATAATTGTACGACATGTTACACAGCGACTTATTTAACCTTCTGAATCAAGTTTTTTTCAAGTTATTGTTTTTTATTTCATTATAAACGCTGACTTTTAACTTTTTTGAACATACATTTTGAGATTGTACATGTAAAGGAATTGCATTGTGCATGATTGTCACTATAGGAGGTCATTCGGTGAACATCCGGGTCTTCTTTTATGTACATAGTTACGCACATTTAGCCATCACGAACGATATATTATTTGTAATGAATAAAATCTTATCCGGATGTATTAACAAGATCGGAACTGAGACTTTGGTCATGCCCCCCCCCAATCTATTTTTAGATCGTGTCGGACATGTTTTTTGGTTAAAATGGCTGTGTTCTGTTTTGATATATCAACTACTTAACAATTTCTGATAAAGGAAGTGAATAAGTCAGTTGTTAATATTTGTATCATTCAGTAAATGAAAACACATATAAAATTCTAGACCAAAAATTATTGCTATATTTCTAGTATAGTTCTAGTTTCTGGCATCCAATACTTTATAACCCGTTTTTAATCATTTTTGTTCTTTATCTGATGCAGCATGTCATGTCATTTTTCATATAATCGGGTTTGCTTAACTTGCTCATATTAAGTTTTTAATTTCTGTTAAATTTTACGTCACCATTAACAGAACCACGCTAAATGTCTTTAATGGATTATTTCATCTTATAAATCTTGACAAAACCATTCATCATATTTGGGAGAATAAATTAAATGACGGAATAGCTAACATTGGAGAAAATGGTCAGACGATATCGAGATGATGCCTAACGCTGGTCTGCACATGCCACATTGATAGATTCTGTGGTCATAAGCAAGCCATGGGTTAAGAAAACTAAACACCATTCTGAATCCATATAATTTAAAATCCTTTTATTCTGAATTAGTATAGTGTGTAAAAAGATTCTTCAAAAATGTATGAAAAACCGAATTTATCAAAATTCTGAGCGAAGTGCAACCAATATTTAACAAACTGTACTCGAAAAAGGAAGGGACAAACGAAAGAGAGGAGAGACTTACTTTAATATTTCCACAATAGCCTTCGCCTGGTATTTATCAGATGCTACAGTCCTAAAAAAATATTCATATCTGGAGGTATCACTTAATGCTGGGCTTGTAGCACTGTAACTAATCTAGAACGAAAAAGATATAGCATTGTAAATTATCTAGACAATATAGGAATAGCATTATTAACTTGTGTAGGCAAAATATAAATTGTACTGAAATGTATCTAGCTAGAATAGATTTAGAAGTATTATCGATCTAGATGAAAAAGCACTGTAATGCATCTAGATAAAATATAAATATGACGGTAATTTATTTAGATAACATATAAAAAGCACTGTACTTTATTTATAGTATGATATACATGTATGATGATAGTTATGAAAAACTTCCATTTATATAAACACTTGATCAATTCCTTAAAGTGTTAAGTCTTCATGACAAAGATTTTTGGACATAACAGTATTAGATTAAACTTTTTTCAGCATTACAGCGAAAACAATGTGTTGATTGCTTCAAAGACAAACCTGTGGTACTTTAAACAACCTCAGAAACGTTGCAAGTTGTATAGACACACTAGATGATGATCCCCCTACCACACCGAGAAGTTTTCCATGATTTTTTACATAACTGAAACAGAAAATACCACTTAGACTTTATACACTATTGTAAAGTAATTGTAAAAAGACCATGTACATACTTAATACTAAGAATATAACATTTATACTAGTTGAAAAAACGTCTATATTCATACGGTAATAACACTTTTTATACATGAAGCGTACGATAAAATACATAATTCGAGGAGTTTCAGTTCCTAAAATGACATAAACTCTTAGTTAAGTCAGAATTGGTTTAGAACACACGCTATCCGGATAGAGTTAACAGAAAAATGATTTAACAGTAGATCATAAAAACAGATAAGACTACAACATAATATGATTTGATGACAACGATTCCGACAACATTCATAATTCTATTTTATCATAAATTGGCGTAAAAAGTCATAAAAAATGATAAATTATCATAAAATGCGGAAATGACCGGGCGCATGTGATATTTCAGACCTTACTGCGAAAATATTAATGCTGAAATGATGTTCAAAATGGCGAAAGTTATTTATGCTCAATAATGTGATCAATTGTGTCTTAGTAATATTTGTCATGAATTGTGTTAACATTTATTCTGTATAGATATTGGGTAACCATTGCGCAAACATTTCTGATCAATTTATATGTTATCATGTATTATGTTTATAAAGTTAATTCTTGATATTTTATCTTAGATTGTGAAAACTTTACGGATTAAGTTGTTAAGTCATAAATTGCGTGAATAGTTAGGCCTGAATAACACGTTTAATAAATTGTGTAAACAGTGGTGCCCAAAATAAAAACTGTAGCATAAACTGTGTAGACATTGATGCCTAAATAACATGTTTTATGATAAATTGTGTAAAGAGTAATGCCTAAATAGTAGTCTACCAAAGTTGCGTAAACATTGATGCCTAAATGGCATTTTGTCATAAAATGAGTACACATTGATGCTCAATGACACTTTATCATTGTTGCGTAAACATTGATACCTAAATGACATTTTGTCATAAAATGATTGAACATTGATGCCTTATTGACACTTTATCATAAAATGCGTAGACATTAATGCCTAAATGGTACTTGTCCATAAGTTGCGTAAACATTGATGCCTAAATGACACTGTATCATAGTTAACATTGATGCCAAAGTGACATTTTGTCATAAAATGAGTAAACATTGATGCCTAAATTACACTTTACCATAAATAATGTAAACTTTGAAGCCTAAAAGGCATTTTATAACGGATTGCACAAACATAGATGCCGTAATGATATTTAAGGATATTTGTCACCTTTGCGTACTAAACATTACAAAACGTACTAGATCAATTACATTATATTCACTTACGATCAATAATGCACGCGCAAACCGACCACTTTTAATCAAGATAAAGCTTAATCAATACATGGCCATTTCCGAAATAAATTAAATATTGCATTTGCTGGTAAGTGAGACATACATAGTATTTGCACTAATTTCTCCTTAAATGATTTTCTATGAAATACATAGTTTATTCATGTTAGTAGGGATAGTTACAGTCATAATATTCGTGGGCAGCGTTTCATAGAAAGTCTTAAGTGTATCCTATGTTCTAGAACGTAAGATTTTAGGACTAATTGTTTCGATTGTTTCGATTAAAATTTTAATCATATATACCTTAAATACCTTAGACCTCTAATGAATTCATTCTACTGAGAAAAGCTACGTTGTACAAAAAAAAAAAACAACAAAAAACAAAACATGACGTACTGAAATCCGCAATGTTTCAAAGTTCATCTGCATTGGCATTCATAAATCGTAGCTGTCATGAGTAAGAAAATTTTCTTTTAAACGAAAAAGTGTCCGGTTTTAAGACTAATTTTAAACTCCTGTCAAAGATAATTATGAAATGCGCACTAGCACACGAGTTTAACCAAATCATGTTTCAGTACACAGGGTATGTTTTTTCTTTACTGACCGTTGGAATGACATTTCGGAGATGTCGTGATTGGACAAACTGGGCAGGGCTAATTTTGCCTATTTATGCTAGAGGAATGGAACGACATTCCAGAAATTTGATTCTTGGATAAGATTTATCAACTTTTGACTTTCTGGACTATACAGAATTTACTTCAGTTTGATTGTGTAGAAAGCTATGATCTTATAGACACACCCTCGAATCCGTTCCTGGTAACAACCAGTACTGAGCAATGAGTGTAAAGTTTCTTACTCAAGGAAACGATGGCTCGCCCCATCCGGGTTTGAACCCACGTGGATAGCGATCACTAGATTAATAGTTTTGACTTTTTAAGGATATATTTAAACACTTTAACCATGGCCTCAGCCTAACCATAAAAGATGTCAATGTAACGTATGTCATACTGTAAGGCACATGTGTGTAGCGCCGATATATGTCCAAACGTCGAAAAATGTCCAAACGTCGATAGATGTCCAAAAATTGACGATAAATGTCTCAATCGCCGATAAATGTCCAAAACTCCTTTAACGATAAATGTCCAAAAATTAACGAAAAATGTCGCAACAAATTAGGTGCTCATAAATGTCCAAATCGGTTAACGATAAATGTCTTAACTTTTCATATGTTAATTGCACTTATTTCTATGATCAACAGTAATGCATCAGCCAGTTATAAAGGTTTCTATAGGGATTAAAAGTACCGATTTAAGTAGCGTTCTCACCAGCATCCCGGCAAAGCCCAGGACCACCCCAGACGATCCGGGATGAAAATATTGTTGCAGTCTCAATAACCCCGGTAGCACTACGGCGATACCCAATTTCCATACTAATAACAACCAGGATGAACTCCGGGCCATCCATGCAGAGTCCAGTTGAAACTACGGATAATGCAGATAGTAAGTGGACGACGGATGACCTAACACGATATTCAAACGCTGTTAAGTCTTCGATCAAAGAGATCATAAAAGCTGAGATCCATGCTAGCACAGCCCCGGATGATGTCGGCAGAGTCCCGGATGATCCCTGCAGAGCCCCGGTACGGTCAGATAGAGTGCCGACAATCACCGGTAGAGCCCCGGCAGAGCCCTTGATCATCCCGGACGTTGCCGACAGAGTTACGGACGTACCCCGGTCGTTCCTGGATCACCCGACCGACCACCGGGACTCTAGCGGGATGCTTGTGAGATTGTAAAAAAAGTTTAAAAAATGTATTTGAAAATAAGTTGATTGTTGGATACAGTCTATCTCCCTTACTATTAAAAGGGAAAAAAATAAGTTAAACCAAGGTGCATTGTACTGGTGCTTTACACCGGGCACTTAAAAGAACCAGGGTCGCCTCTGGAACTGGGCGTCTTCTGTATCATGCACTATCCCCCCGAAAAATAATATACTAACAAATAATATACTCACAAATAATATACTAACGGATATTTACAAATCTACCACTACTTATACAAGTTAAGATAGTGCGATACTGTATAAACGAAAATCCGGCAATGAGATACGTCTTAAGCAGATGTCATCTTAGTAGTGTTGTGCAGTTATGTGACATTTACCTACCTAGAATTTACATTTCACCTGATATAATGCAGGATGTGCCAAATGTTGTAAGCGTGAGACGACTTTTGCTGAATTTTGGTCGGTTCAGTGGCCTAAATATTAGAAATCCGCAATATTATAAGAGAATCTAGATGGGCCAATGCTTGGTTGCACCTTCGGTTATGTACTGATGCCCTTTGTTGGTACGAGATTGCAGATATATGGTACAGAAGACCGTAAGAAATGACATCAGTACATTACCGAAGTTGCAACCAAGACATAACCAAGTGTAAAACCAGTTAATATATGTGTAAAAACAGTTTAAAGATGAAAATATTCATTGTCAAATTGTGATAATTTCAAAATAACGCTTGTCGAATGGAGAAGAAATGTTAAAAGTTTTTGTCAACAGATTAAAAAAAATTACACAGTATTCGAATAGCAACATTATAATTGCTATATGATGGTGTCATTTAAACATTTATATTATTATACCTCAATATATCCTTCAATGTAAAACTCCCATAGGGCTACAATGTGTTCTGATCGAATATCACCCTCCTAGAATATATTACCCGGGTAATATTTCTTATATCACCTTGGAGCACAAAACTCTTACATAACTCATATTATTTATTTCCTAGTCTGTTTGTCTGTCTGTCTGTCTCTTGTTTTTATCTATATACAATATACTATTTTTGTGTATATCGAACATTTACAGATCAAAATCGCTATAATTGTAAAGTGATGATCTGTATTTTCTTTCAGGCAAAGACTGCTGACCTAAGGGTTTTTTGCGGTATAATGAAATAAATAACACATGGCTGTCGGGGTGATAGAGGATATTGCCAACCCTTGACCTCGGCTGCGCCTCGGTGTATTATACCAGTTCTCGTGTTGACAATATCCTCTATCACCCCGATAGTCATGTGTTAATTATATATTATTATACCTCAATATATCCTTCAATGTAAAACTCCCATAGGGCTACAATGTATTCTCATCGAATAGCACCCTCCTAGCATATATTTCCCGGGGAATATTTCTTATATCACCCTGGGGTACATAACTCTTACATAACTCAGTATTGATAAAAACGATAATGCTTTAGTAACCAGTTAGCATAATGCAAAATGACAGCCATGTGTTATTTATTTAATATTGTTAAGTTAATATTTGACATATAAGTAATTCATAAATGTACATGTTTGTATCCAACCAGCACAGCAAGAAAACATACTATTACGTCAAGTGTCTATTACGGTGGCACAGATGTGACACATGGGTGTCTTTATTTATCTTGTTCACACGAGATATTATTTTGTTCCCACAATATATTATCTTGTTCCCACGAGATATTATCTTGTTCCCACGAAATAATTATCTTGTTCCCACGAGATAATATCTTGTTCCCACGAAATAATTATCTTGTTCAAACGACATATTTATAGCCAATCAGAAGCTGTAAAATGGTATATAGCAGTTACTTCCCCTTATTTAGTTGAACATTTACTTGATTATATAATTATAGATTATATTCATGTATAACCATGTAGGTTGATCTTGATAGTGCCACACTGTATGGACATACAAAACCTTAACTACCAATTACTGGTGTTTAATAGCGAATACCCTCATCTGGTGACGCATTTGCGTGCAAACTGATCTGGGTCGACACTGGAGGGATACATGTAAGTAGCCTTTCAAAACTCTGTATTTATAAGGCGGTGGCCTCGCAGTGGCGTTCAGTCCACCACGCACGAATGAGTAATAATCAAATACAAATGTCTTTAATCAATGTAGCATGAGAAGGACCGTCTTCGCAGCACTTAAGAGAAAAGTCACAAAACCCATTTAACACGTGTTGCGTATATGCTTATAACGACCATTGTCGAACCATATCCCCCGACAAGCAAATGCGTCATCCTGTCAAGGTCTGCACTGTTCGCTGTTGAATCAGTAGGTCAGATTTTAACTGTCAAAGCAGTTAACTCCTTGATTAGCTCACCATGGTTTATACAGGTTAACTGCTTTGTTTGCCAGATAGAGTTGCATATTTTTCTTAACTTTTGACCACTTGACAGTAAAGGAATATGCAACTCTGTCCACGCCCCTATACCGTTCACAAACTTTCGGGACGGACACTTAGACACTCGGACGGACAATGGCAACGCTATATGGGGCACAAAAATATTGGAAGAACACAAACAATGCTAAAACGTATTGCTTCGGTGAGTTAAGAAGGCACATGCGCCCCATCCGGATCTGCAACTGGCCATGCACAATAATGTATGATACATTTTACGTCGGGGGTAAACCAGAGGGTAAAATCACGGGTTAGTTGGATAGACTGTTACAGTATCCAATACAATAAATTACAAATTAACATATGAAAAGTTCAGACATTTATCGTTAACCGATTTGGACATTTATGAGCACCTAATTTGTTGCGACATTTTTCGTTAATTTTCGGACATTTATCGTTAAAGGAGCTTTGGACATTTATCGGCGATTGAGACATTTATCGTCAATTTTTGGACATTTATCGTCGTTTGGACATTTTTCGACGTTTGGACATATACTAGTATCGGCGCTACACATGTGTTTTCAAAAACATTTCTTTTCTATCAAACTGAGAATGCGTAGCTAAATAAAACATATAACTGTTAACTTTAACAGCATATCTCAAGAACTTAGTCTATATAAGCATTTTGCAGTTGATATTATTCTAGCCAAATCATGTTGGAAAATGGATAGAATTACCTTGGTGGTTTGTCATCCGCGCAAACGTAGTCCGTCGTGTGCTGGAGAACAGTTTGAAACTTAACAAACTCAAGTGCACGGTCTAACGCCTGGGTATCACTGTCACACGTGTCATACGCTATCACACCCAATGTTATATCTGTAATACAATGTAAAACACAGTCTTACACCCCAATGTTATATATGTAATAAAGCACAGTCTTACACCCCAATGTTATATATGTAATAAAACACAGTCTTACACCCCAATGTTATATCTGTAATAAAACACAGTCTTACACCCCAATGTTATATCTGTAATAAAACACAGTCTTACACCCCAATGTTATATCTGTAATAAAACACAGTCTTACACCCCAATGTTATATATGTAATAAAACACAGTCTTACACCCCAATGTTATATCTGTAATAAAACACAGTCTTACACCCCAATGTTATATCTGTAATAAAACACAGTCTTACACCTCAATGTTTTATCTGTAATAAAACACAGTCTTACACCCCAATGTCATATCTGTAATAAAACACAGTCTTACACCTCAATGTTTTATCTGTAATAAAACACAGTCTTACACCCCAATGTCATATCTGTAATAAAACACAGTCTTACACCCCACTGTCATATCTGTAATAAAACACAGTCTTACACCCCAATGTGATATCTGTAATAAAACACAGTCTTACACCCCAATGTGATATCTGTAATAAAACACAGTCTTACACCCCAATGTCATATCTGTAATAAAACACAGTCTTACACCTCAATGTTTTATCTGTAATAAAACACAGTCTTACACCCCAATGTTATATCTGTAATGAAACACATTTTTTTTTCAACCCAATTTTATATCTGAAATGAAGGACAGTTTTACACCTCAATGTTATATCTGTAGTAAAACACAGTCTTACACCTCGATGTTATATCTGTAATAAAATATACATATCTGTAATAAAATAGTTTTACACCTTTTGTTATATCTGTAATTACATAAAATGATGTCTAATATTTATACAATTTGGCTAATTACAATATGCTGCTGACGTTGAAGTTTGTTGAGAGGGTAATTCTTTGAAAATTTATTATTAACAGAAAACAAAAGAAAACAGAAACAATTCTTGATCGCATTCTGAATATTATAGACGAATGTGAATTATTTTTAGCTAGAAGATGTTTTACTTCATTACTATTACCATATTTTGGTTTTTAGTTTTAATCCGAGGGGTATTGTTCAATTGGAAAATCAAAACAGATCTAGGCGCATCCTCTGATAGGCTCTAAAAGCGTTATGAAAGCTTTATGTGAAATAAAGGGTGTGATTTTAATACACAACATTTTCCCAGTGTTATAAGGACCAGTCAGCCTTAAATTTTCTGGGTGAGGTTCATTCTAGTTTTGAGGGTTAATTGCTAAGAGGTACTATTTCTTGTATAACTTTACTACAACAACAAAGATTCCAAGGGATATAAAAATATGATTTCACTAAAAAAATCAAGATATGCTCATGAAAAAAAGAGTAGATGTTTTGACAGCAACGTTAACCCCCCGTTCACACATAGACGCCGCTTCTACTACGATCAAAGCGTGGCCGAAAACGTGGCCGATCGTGACAAATCGCAGGAGATACGTAGTGGAGTCTACATAAGCGCAGTATGATCGCGGTAGCGTCTTCATGATCGGAAAGCTCTACGCTTTCGCCACGTTTATTTTGAACGTGCTCAAAACAAGCGTAGCGGGATCGTGGCCAACAAGAATCGGGGTAAAGTCGTAAAAAGAGCGTGGTAGAAGCGCCGTAATCGTACAAGCAGCGCGGAAGCATCGTGGATAGTTCTTCATGATCGTAGTAAGAGCGCAGTAAAAGCGTAGTACAGACGGGAACATACCGAGTACGCTTCTACAACGTTCCCACTATGTTCTTACTACGTTCCCACCTCGGTCTCTCTACGTTCATGACGATCTTACGAAGACCTACCATGACCTTACGACGATCATACCACGACCTGTCAGGTAGCAGTTTGTTTTTATAGCGCTGCTATTTGACCAATCATACTCTGAGGAAGTGGTGTCTTCCATTCGGAGTTCTCTCATCAGTGTATCATATTGTCTAAACTGGAGCCTCCTATCTGCAGATAGCCATGTCCGTACCCAGTATCTTCTTGGCCTCCTTCTGCGCCCCCGCCTGTTAACACGCCTTTAAAAATCTGCGCAATTTCAATTTCAACCAATATTTGTTCTTGATGAAGTAAAGCCAGATGAATCAGGTCAGCATTAATACATCCGTTCATGTTTGAAGTTTGGAAGTAAATGAAAAATAATTTTTGAAACCCAAGATATCTATATATAATCGCCAAAATCGTACCAGAAGCTTACTACAAGCGTGATATGATCGGCACCGTCGTAGCGATATCGTTGTACAGTCTTTCAGGTCTGCGTAGCGTCGTAGTGCGAGCTTGAATGTCGTAGCGGCAGCGTAGTATAAACGCAGTAAACGCGGCCGCTGGTCGGCATCGGTCAGCGTAACATCGTAGTTGAAGCGTGTCAGCAGCGCGTTTGACGTCGGAACATCGTAGTAAAGTCGTAATGAAGACCAAAATTTGCAAAATTGTTCGATTTCGACGCCGATCGGCCCCGATCCAATACTTTTTCAGATCGTGGCTTGATCGGCATGATCGTCCTAAAGTCGCAGCTCTGTGTGAACGGGGGTTTACACACATGGTTCGGGCAGTAACGCATCTGTAAGTGCCCGTTAAAAATCAATACATTGCAACCTTTGAAGTGTGACCACACGGGAAAGTGGTAACATCTTCACAACAAGAAAAAAGTAGCAATTCTTCTTTTAGAAAAAATTAACATTAGATATAACATCTTTTGAGCAACACCTCTAACAACAGATTAAATCTTATTCTCTCAAAGCTTGCTGCTTAGGAAGAAAGTTATATTGTACTGGCACTATCATAGGTAAATAAGGAAAAAAATTATGCATGGTATAAAAGTATTTTTTGTCTTTATCAAAAATGCATCAAGGGGGAACTTTATTATATAAGTGATTTTTTTGTAATCTGTTTCCTCTTTACACTTAATTTCCGCGTGCAGTCCTAAAATATGAAGATGAGTGTCATAGTGCAAACTAGAGTAGAGGAAGTAATAAATAGTCAAATAGGTATTATAACAAAATAAGATTTTTTAACGATATTAGTTATTACTGACATATCCTTTTCGTGTTTTGGTTTGCATGCGCTCTATAAATTATAAATCTTTCCATAAGAGTGGTGACATCTGTTTTTCAAGAAGTTAAAGAACAGGTAATTTAAGTAATGAAACAAACAAAACCGCAGCATACACTACTGTTATATGAAAAACTTGTTTCTTAGACTATTTTGTTTTACTTACCTTCTTCCTCATTTGGGTCCTATTTACACAGAAACATGGGTACAGTCACGTACCTTAGCCTTACCCTGCTGTATATATTAAATGGACTCGCCCATCATCATTCAGTCTGCACAAAACCATTCATCTTTTTGTAGATAACATTTCTATGTATATATTGACCAAAAAGCGAACAGTGCAGACCAATTATCAGACAGTACGAATGTGCCAACTGATTTTGGTCTGCACCAGTGTCAATGTTGAAATCAGTTAAGTGTTAATTAATTTATCATTTTCATGGTTATGTAATAAGTATGAAATAACTACCTACTTTTACTTTTTAGAATCAGCTCGTTTGCTTTTTCTCGACTGTACAAAAACGCCTCTAAATTCTGAATCCCGGTCTGATCGTTGAATTCTTTGCCACAGTTTCCCTTCTCTGTGAGTACGTGTATGGGAAACATACCCCCAATGATAAAATCCCCAGTTTTATTAACAAATGACACTTTACTGGTTATAGCATTGACTTTAGAAAACCTAGTTAAAAGAAGGCAGCAGATGCAAATTATTGCAAAATGTTTAGTATCTTTGCAATCCATTTTTTATATTTTAGACATAAACTTATTCTATAATTATATGTTTTGAAATATGTATGCAAAAACGCATTATCTGTCTCGTCACAAACTTGAAAATAACTGTTACATATTTTCGTGAAATTCACATGTTATAAATGTTGATGTGCGTATGTTTGAATTTCATGTATAAAACTTTGTGAAGAAAATCTGTATCTATAATGTTTGTTGAGTAAACTAACATTCCCATGTCAAGCGAAACAAATCTTTATCCACGCGAATTTGACTCACAGGCATGTAATTATGATGTATACACTATCCGCCCATTGTATATCCGAAAATTTATCCACTTTCTATGATTAAAATTTAATTTCTTTCAAGCAATTATAGGTTACTTTGTTGATACAGATGAACCTTTTAATGTAATATTCATATATGTTCATTTGATATATAATTTCATTCATTATTCCCTTTGATAATGTTATATAGTTCATATTGTCTGCTTTTATTGTATACTACTTTTAATATGGTGATATTTTCACACAAAAAAAAAACAAAAAATTCACATCACCACCATTTTCTAAGAAAAAGTACCGCGCTTTTAATTGTTATGTATTCTGACCAATACAATATCAATCATATAAATATGCACATTATCTATATAAATATAAATAAATTTTCACGTTTCAACTGTGTATCACTTGATAATAAATGTAATGTACATCCGTACGGTATTATCACAATACTTTGATTAAATGTTTATTTATCAAGTGTCTACTTGTCCGGTACGGAGGCTATTAAGTCTATCTTACTTAACACATTTTTATCAACTGATTGTCTTTCTTAACATCATTGGAGGTCGTGACACGGCTCAATTTCCGGTTATGATGTTGAAGAGCAACCTTTAAACTTAAAAAGGGGCAAAAGCGAGTAACTAGATCATTTACTTTGATTTTGTAATATTTGTATTCTTTTGTTGTACACTTTATAATTAAAATTAAGAAAGTAAGAACTTTCATGATAATAAGCTTATTCAGAAAAAAACAAAGAAGAAGAAGAAGAAGAAGAAGAAGAAGAAGAAGAAGAAGAAGAAGAAGGCAACAACAACAACAGCTACAACAGAATAACAGGCACGTGAACAAAATTATCTATCTGTACAGCATTTTTGTCGGTTTGCTTCAGATGCTTTAATCTTCGTTGTTAGTAAGAGAGATAGACATGACACACTGCTTTATAAAGATGAGTTTTGATACTCTAGTTAAATTTAAATCATCTTTCCGCAATAAATACATATCAAACAACAGAAGAAAAACTGTTCCCATACTTCTGTGTACATTTTCCCCAAACGTGAATTTCTTCTAACTTATCATTATGTCAAATAGAAGCCATTAGGTGATGTGAAAAATACGAAGTCCCATCAAGACCTACTAACTTTAAAAGAACTATGATGGAAAGCCCTCATAATCAACAGACGGAAGTAAAAAAGTAAAACCAACATTAAATATAGAAATACTCGACAGCTTCTAATAATATATTTTAGTTCCTGTCGATCATGTGTACTTCATTTAAACTGTGAATCCCCCTATTTTTCACCAATGTGATCTTTTTATAAATTATACTGAACGAAGGCCCCTACAGTACACCGTAGTATAGAGATATACTATTACTTACGCCTGAAGCATTAGATGCAGTTAACATCAAAACCAGTAATGAAAGTAATTGTCATTTCTTGTGTTGTAGTACACATTTAATGCAACAATTAGATGTCAAACTCGTCTTATGACTGTAATAACATTCGATTCAAATTTAAATTTTTCAACCACACAAACAAAATACCGAGATAATAATTATCAGTAGTAGATATAATTTATGACCCAATACGTCTTTCTTTACAAAATTTTGATAACAAACTTAATAGTAACATACTGATTTTATTAAATGACATTTATTGCTATTCTAATACATTATTACTAAGCACATATTGGGCAAGTTAGTTTTGTAAGTGCTAAAGAATTAAATGGCTGATGTTGAAATACGAATGTACCTAATTTCATTCTTAATTAAATGAACTATGCCTTTAATCTGAATATTCAGTGGTAAATTTAAGTTAATTTGTTTATTCTAATATCATATAAAATACTTATCCTTCTTTTAAATCTGTACAAGATCATTCGTGAGAGAGTTTCTTATAAGCTAAAAGTTTCCTACTCAATCCTAATTTTAATTTATATATTGTTATTTTCTATTGAAAATATGAAAAGAGAAAATTAATACATATTGAGACCGTTCGTTATTTTAAAAAGAAATTGTAAAAAGATAAATACTGGCTAAAAAGCGAACTGGGTCCGAGGTTATAAAGAATTCCTCTAAGCTCAAACTCGGATCTCGGGTATTTGATTAGTCAGAAACTGTCACAAAATGTTCACTGACCAATGAAAATCCTGTGATTTGAGAAGAAATTCAGAAAAAGTTTTATGTTCTCAGTCCTTGTACAGACCCATGATCAAAAGGATGTGCCGGGTGATCTTGGTTTGCACTGGTCAGATGGATATATTCTGTATCCGCCTGCAGGGTTTATAATTCTTCATTCTGACAGGAATTGCCAACTCTTGATATTTTCTTGATGAGCATGAATATGTTCTAAAATGAGTTAATAAAAGTTTTTTAAAGAACCATGTCAAAGCTTCGAATGAAGCAGATAGATTTAATTCGTCAAGAATATGACTCCCTGAAAGAAACAAATATTGTTTTGAGAAGCGTTTATAAAGGGGGATTATCTTGTTTTGGGTAATAAATAAGTTCCTCCTCAGATTATCTCCCTTTACTGTAAAAAATTTACAACAATGGCATTTCAATTACTAAAGCTTTGTCATTAGTTTCTTTTTGTTCGGGTTCAAAATCGTACTGATGATAGCTAGGTTGTGCGAATATCATAGGTATAGTGGGTAGAGGACAATTCTAAATTCATTTACTTTAAGACTGTTTTTTATGGATATTCAAAATTGGTTAAATAAAACAGTTCTGACTTCCCAAGACAGGAGAAACAAAATCATACTTGTGTTGTTGATCATTCATTTGCTTTATTTATACTGAAAAATATTTTTTTGTAGATTTCGTTCTTCAATTTTCAGTATAATCAAGTTGACATAATATTATGTTTTTGTCAAACGAAAGGTAAAGCTTAATATGACAAGAGTGCACTATTATCTAAAATACATTTTATCTACGTAATTATGCTTAGTTACTTTGAAATATTGATAACTCGTATTAATATTGATGTCAACAAGTGATGTTACTTGTAATAAAGCACGAATATGTACAAATATGAATTAATGAAAAACCGTTCTTTAACACTATGGGCATTGATAAGAAATAACATGCACCATGAAAGTTAATTGTTCTAAGACTCCATTATCTACTAACGTATTAAGTTCATGATTTTTATTTTAACCGAAGTTCAATCATAAATAAAACATTCATAGGTCAATAGTTTCGTATCAATTAATTGCGTTTGACTTTGGTAATCTTGTGCTCACTTCAGGATGCCAGCACTTGCAGCATACAATTGACCGATCGTTGGCCGCTATTTCACCAATCTGGATGGTGCTCCAACACAGAACATTGCTCAGTGCTAATTGATTCGCCGGTGATAAAAGGACAACGAATTAATTGATTACTATTTACTTAGAATATCAACAGAATTAATTCTCTTTGATTTATATCAATAACATATCAGTCAGAATAGTTTTGTTGAAAGGATAATCAAGCCAGTAGGCAGTAAGCTAAGAGTATGACCTCAGATCCAATAATTGTGGGGGAAAAACAACAACAACAACAACAAAAAAAAAAAAACAAAAAAAAAAAAAAAAAACAACAACAAAAACAAATATGTTTTAAGCTATGAGAACTGTTAAGAATACAAAGAGATATGTTGTTGATGATGTTAGAGATTAATTCATGTATGATAATATTTTTAGATGCCATAAATTAGTACAACATCATTAACCTCAAATTATACACTATTTATATCATTGCTATATGTTGACAGTAAACACACACGGTCATTAAACCCTCAAGGGTATTCACCTTTAAATCAAAGTACAGTATCAGTTTTATTTGCTAGGTTGATAGTCATTTCGAAGTTTACTTTGTTTTGTTTTTAAATAAATATTTGTATACATAAGTTGTAATTAGATCTACACCTATATAATGCCTTATACGGCACAAGTAACCCCAGAAACATGTTATTAAGGTATATGCTATGGTATTGGATTTAAGCTCGATTTCGAAAACAAGTTCTTGTAACTCATAATAATCATTTTCGAGTCCCCTTCCTGGAACCAACCAGTATTAATGTCATACGAAGAAATATGGACGTGATCCGATTAGGACTCTGACCCATTATCCCTTGTTTGAGAGGCATATTGTTTGACTTCCCCTTTTGCCTATGTTATTGTTCCCCCTGCTCAAGTTCAACTGAGTTCTTTCTCCGAAAAATACCCCCCCCCCCCCCCCCGAAAATATATATACCAGTCAATAGAAAATCATTGCTATGAAGATTAACTTACACCAGCATTTATTTATGTGATACAGCCAACGGTTGATATATTTAGTTAATTTGATCACTTATTAAAATAATTTTGATTTCGTAAACTACAAATAATATCATTTATGATTTCTGGACAAGTTCGGAAACGCTATACGCTATGATATGAATCAGGACAATTTAGTTTACGTAGAATTCAAATGGACAACATATCATATTCTTCGATATCCTGATGATTATCTTCAACAAAAGGCATTATAAACACAATTTCGTTTAGTTTAGTTAATACAATACAAAACTAAATTCAATTAGATTTTGGAAAGGCTTCTCTCGAGTCCAATTCGAAACGATAATTTTGTTTGATGCCTATCATCATTTCAATTAATTGCTAATAGTTTTTTTTCCTAGACATTCGAAGGTTTATATTTCAAAACACGTTCCAGGAAAACATTGCCCTCAAATTGACTGTTGGTGGTCATTAAAAGTTCATCTGAGGAACCTAAACAGAAAATAGTTTCTCGAAGTTTAATTTGGTCAAGCGAAAAAAAAAATCGGACATGAAACAAGTTTAGTAAACTCTCTGTAGCTATTTCTGAAAACACATATACCATTTTGATCTAGAAATGAGGTTTAGCTATTTCTATTTGTTTATTCAATTATCGTTTTGCAAGATCTTTTCAGTGCAATTGTTTTGAGATTGTTTACATGTAAATGAAGTCAGAACATTTCCTAGTTTCGTTTTAATTTTTATATTGGGAATTGTATGTAGACACACAGTCTTCAAATAAATTAAATATAACGTGCATAACATTTCAAATCTTGTGTAACGTTCCTCTTATTATAAATTATTGTTGTCTCAATAACCCGCACTGTTTCCATTTCTTGTTAAAGTAACATTATACAAAGTATATCTCAAATATTGCAAACATTTCAATCAAATCGAAACACAACGTCAAAATATTCTATTTAATTAAAAATAAATGGATAGTGCTATTTTCTGTCCCATTAAGAAGAAGAAGAAGAAGAAGAAGAGGAAGAAGAAGAAGAATAAGAAGAAGACAATAATAAGAAACGTATTACGTCAGCATGAACAAAATTGCAAAGCAAATAGCGTATTTAAGTGTTGAGTCCCTCATTTACAGGACTCAGCTTGTCCTAGAGTAGGATTTGCAGGATTATAACATACACAAAATTGTTGAAAATTTTCTGTTGCATTTATATGATTTATGTAATGTTGCAAATGTGTAAATTTCAGGTTTAGATCCACCAGGC